TATATATATATATATATATATATATATATATATAAATAAACTACTACTTACTACTTGTACTACTTTGCAGTTTTTCACTTATCGCGGGGCTTCAGGGTATGGATCTCCTGTGATAAATGAGGGATTACTGTACACTAAAGTAAAAAATATTATACATACAGTATTTTATCTGTTATATTTTATGAAATTTTCCTATTTTTTGTTTTTTTTAAATACGTGAAAAATACTTAACATGACAGAAACAAAAACTAAATTCCTTATAAATAACAAACATTAAACTGTAAATATATATTTGTTTTATTTTAAACATAAAACCACTGTTAAAATACATTTGCAAATTTACCAAAACATTTTTAATTGATATTAACATAATAGCTTTAAATTTAGTTATTAAGTTAGAATATTTTCTTTTTATTAAATATTCTTCTTTTATTCAAATGTTTCTTACTAAAATTGTATTTTTATCAATTTCAAATTTATATATTTTTTATTTTGTTATTAATATAATAAATTAAAATTTTTAATTGATAATATATTATTTTATTCCTGTACAGATGACTATTTATGCAGGATTTTGACTTAAACTGATAATGAGCCACGATCAGTAATCAAAAACCTTTTGCAATTTCAAGTCTGTTTACATTACAACAGGTTATCATCACAAATATTAGGAATTTTAAGGTCAATACACGCAAAACCATTTTTTATTTTACCGTAAAAAAAGAGAAAAAACAGCAACACATAATTTATTATTAAAATTACTAATATTAATATTGTTGTAGTGTTTTTTTTTTAACTGGTGCCTCAACTGCTGGAATATGAGGTTTTAAGTGTTTTTTTTTTAATTATATTTTTTAAATTTATTTTTTCCAGTGTGTGAGCTTTCTTACCAACAACTCCAGCACTTCTGAGCATGAGATGAATTGAATATGCAGACAGGAGAGCGATGCACACCAACAGGATTCTGAAACACACAAGAAGCAAGTGACACGGTTCGAATGACTTCAGGAATTTAAAAATGTCTGTAATAACCTAACTTTTTAAAGAAATTCTTTGGATAACTGACATTTTCCTCCAAGCCACGTGAGTCAGCTTGGCTTTGTTAGAGCTCCATTATTTTTTTTTTTATGGCCACTCTCCTCCCCCGCCACATAGCACAGGCCTGATCCAAGCAGGCGTGTCTTGGATCTGATCACAGTGGTCTATATTTACCACTTAAATCTGATTTAGAGGAACTGCATGTGTACGAGCTCTAGTGTAGAGTCTGACAGAACAGGGGACAGTCTTGCTATGAGTGGACAGAAAGACAGTTTGCATGATGTCCCAAACAGTAACTCGAGAAAAAGTACCGGTAGTCAATAACTTGCCAAGACAAAAAAATCTAACTCTCTTTCGCTCACTATATCTAACTTTGGTATCCATATCCATCTCTCCCTCTATGTTTTATATATATATATATATATATATATATATATATATATATATATATGTATATATATATATATATATATTTCTTTTTCTTTTCTCCTCTCTTCTTTCGGCTGCTCCCTGCGATAGGGGTCACCAGAGCGAACTAAGTCGCACGAAGACTTGGCAGTTATTTTTACGCCACATGTCCTTCCTGACGCAACCACAGACACCGAGCTAACACAGCCCTCTGTGTGGAGCAGAGAGCTGCTATCTAGGACACCTGGAGGAGCAGATGGTGGGGGTTAAAGACCTTGCTCAAGGGCCCAGAGTGGG